TATATATATGTGTGTGTATGTATGTGTGTATGTGTGTATGTGTGTATGTATGTGCGTATGTGTGTATGTGTGTATATATATATATGTATGTCTGTCTGTCTGTCTGTCTGTCTGTCTGTCTGTCTGTATGTATGCATGCATGGATGGATGGATGTATGTATGTATGTATGTATGTATGTGTGCGTGTGTATATATGTATGTATGTGTGTATTCATGTAGGTATGTATGTGGGATGACGAGCGCCGGCCACTTGCAGAGGGAACTGAAGCGATGGTGTAGGTGTTAGGGTTCTGTTTGGGGCTCTAGGGTGGAGTTGCGGAGGTAAGGGCTTCTGTCAGTTGTCCACTTCCACATGCGGCAACGCGGTTTCCTTAGTCGGGAGTTGGGAGTTTTCCTCGGCACTTTTTGCTCTGCTTGGCGTCTAATTCAGAGTTTCCGTGTGGGGGGTCGTTCAGAATTATAAAGCACGTATTCCGGCATCCTCAAAATCAAAGAACATGCTGTAGTCCCACTACGGCAAGGCCGTGGAACTCCTGTGTTAATCTTGAGGTACACAAACGGAAACGAGTAAACATTCTTGAAAGGGCCCTACTCACTGTGTGAACCTCGGAGAGGTTTGGATTCAAGAGATCAAAAGCCACGCTTGTTTGGGGTTAATGATTTTAGAGATTGCAATTGTAGGGCGTAGGGTTTAGCGCTCTTAGGCTTAGGGGGCGTTTACGTAGAGGGCTGACGGTTCGAGGCGTATATTGCGCTCTCCATTTTAAGCTTTGTCGGTTGTCGGCTGTTGAGCATCGGGCATCCCTTCTCTTTTCAGATTTGACTCAACCTGCACCAAAGCTGTGCTGCGGTTGTTTTCCGAAGGCGCAGTAGCCCGGATGCGAAGGAGAACAATGGGTGTGCTCTCTGAATGTTTTAGTCAGCAAAATTCCTCAAAAAGCGTCACCGTAGCGCTCGATTCGGCGCAGAGCTAAGACTAGCTCTTGAGGCGGATTGGCACTGTCGATGACTTTATGGAGAGCACCGACATCAATCAGTCCCCTGGCTCTTTTGGCAGTAATGTGGCGGCTCGTTTAATGGACCCCCC